TCAGGCTCACTGGCCTTGACACCTGTACTGGACAGGAGCAGGGGCCTCCGAAAAAAACAAACAACTCTGGAGCTAAGACCCCATGGTGGCATCAGGACCAGGTCTGGATTCAAGAACTGGTGAGAATGCGGGGTCAGAGGCAATGTTAGCCCTCATCTCCATGCTGGGATCAAGACGCCGGCCGTGCACACTGTTTCTGTTGACTATGTCTATTTCATCTCCTGGCCGTTGTCTGTCCGCTGCCTCTTTGGCTTTCAGGTCTCTTCATGGGCAGCTCGTCATCAAGACCCGTTGCCCCCTTCGCCTGTATTTTCTCTCACTGTCGGGCTGTATTCCCCTGGGCAGGAGAACCTCTACGGAATAAAGTTTTTCAAGGGGACGCTTTGTGTACTCGAGCGGCCAACCTGTAATGTTGGCTGGCCAGCTGTGGAAATGTTTCAGCCTTCTGTGACTAGTTGTCACAGGAAGACCCAGCTACAGTGATCAATTTCCTTACATTGATATTTGGTTACAACTTAGTTCTGAGCCCTCCTCTGTGGTTAAGGACTTGTTCACTAAAAATGGGGACCCGAATTTTAATGGCAAAAGACAAGGCTTTTAAACCAGGCATATGGTTGACCCCAGCCTCCCTGTCCCCCATTTTGCAGGCAAACCCAGAGGAAAAGCAGTGGCCCAGCTCCTTCAACCCCCTCCATATGCTGTTCCTAAAGAGACATACCCTGTTTCTACACCCCCTGACTCATGTTCACATCCACCACTAGTTGTGTCTCCACCTCATACCCGTTCCAGGCATTCCTATGGGTCCCCTGACACTCCATTTTCCCCTCATGTAGCCCCCATTTTGCTCCTCCGTCAGCAGGTGGGAAACCTTGGTGTGTATCCGAAAGTTGGTGGGGTTTGAGAGTAAGAACAGGTCAGAATTGGTTGCAATAGCACAGAAAACTTTTGACAACCAGCATACCCCAGAAGAAGGAAGCAATGGCAATGAAGTTGGGAAAAGGGACCATAGCGGCTTTGAAAGGGCAGACTGGCCCTCCCCGAGGGCACAGAGGACAAAAGACCTGGCCCAGTTGGCATTCACCTCTTGGCAAAAATCAGTGTGCTTATTACAAGGAAATTGGGCATTGGAGAAATGAGTGTCCCCAGCGGCTCCACCGAAAACAGTCTGTTTTGGCCCTTAATGGCAAAGATTGAAGGGAGAAGTAGTTCCATTCTAGTGAACCCCGAGAAACCCATGGTAACACTTAAAATTGGGGGCACCCAAGTGGACATTTTAGTTGACACAGGTGCTGCACATTGTGTATGACAGCATCCCTGGGGGTCCTTATCTGCTTGAGCTTCCCAGATACAAGGATCCACTGGGAAAATCAAATCATACCCATGTACAATGGAGAAGACTGGACAGCTAGGGAAGGGGCAAGTTATCCATTAGTTTTTAATCATCCCCGATTCCCTCAACCCCTGCTGGGAAGGGACCTGCTATATAAAATGCATGCCACTTTGAGGGGCCTTTGAGGGGCCATCAGTTCAACTATCCTACCAGGACCCTGCAAAGATCCTGGTGTCTTGTCTTTTGCAAAATGAATATCAATTTTGATTTTGATGGCCAATTTGCCCCAAACCCCCTACCTGGATGAGTCACACACCAGATTTCCACTAGTCTAGGCTGAGACAAACCCCCAGAGCCTGGCATCTCATGCTGCCCCCCCCCACACACACACACACACCCTGTTGTGGTCCAGTAGGTGGCCGGAGCCATGCCAATTCATCTGATACAATAGCCTATGAAGCCTGAAACCAGAGCAGGGATAGTGGGACATGCAACAGACTATTGGCAGCCAAAATCTTTGTGCCCTGACATTTCCCCTGGACTACCGCACTTTCCTAGTACAGAAGCCTGACACCCAAGACTTAAGAGAAGTAAACCACAGAGTAGAAACTATCCACCATACACCCAAAACCCCTATACCCTGCTCAGTCAAATTCCCACAAACTTCAAGTGTACACTGTTTGGGACCTTAAAAATGCTTTTTTTCAGCATTGCCCCTACACCTGTAGGGTGTAGCCCCTCTCTGCCTTTGAGTGGACTGAACCCAAAGGAGGGTATTCTGGCCAATTGACCTAGACCTAGTTGGTGCAAGTTTTCAAAAATCCCCCGACCATCTTTGATAATGCCCTCAGCAAAGACCCACAAGAGTTTTGCTGAAAAGACAGGTAAGTAATGCTCTTGCAGTATGTTGATGACCTCTTGCTAGCCGCCAGGTCCCCAGAAGAGGGTGAATTGGCCACAGAGGACCTCCCCAGAGAACTGAAACACATGGGTACTGAGTTTTGGCCAAGAAAGCCCAACTCTGCATGAAAAAAAGCCCACTACCTCAGGTATGTGCTGCATGAGGGGAGGCGATCCCTTTCCAGCCAGCGTGTGGAGGCTGTCCTGTACGTTCGAAGACAAAAAAGCAAGTATGGGAGTTCCTGGGGACAGGAGGCTCCTATCGGCTATGGATACCGGGGTTTTGCGGTGCTTGCAAAGCCACTGTATGCTGCCACTGCCGAGCGAGACACAAACCCCTTACTTTTGGCAAACCTGGAGCAAGGGGCCTTCAAAACGTTAAAAACCTGCCCTCCTGCAACCTTAAACAAACCCTTCCAGCTCTTTGTGGAAGTGAAGGCAGGTGGCACAACGGGGGTCTTAACCCAGAAGTTAAGTCTCTGGAAAAGTCCAGTTGCCTACCTGTCCAAAAGACTTGACCCAGTGGTGGCTGGGTGACCCTCATACCTGCGGTCTATTGTAGCCACAGCCCCTGGTTCAGGAAGCTGACAAACTAACATGTGAACAAAACTTTGAAGTCATTGCCCCCATGCTGTGAAAACTTTGTTAAAAGGAGACTCAAACGGCTGGCTGTGCAATGCCAAACTAACACAGTACCAAGCTCTTCTCTTGGACAACCCCAGGGTACTGTTCACATGGACAATGGCCCCAAGTCTGCTACTCTTTTCCCCCGAGCCCCCACAACAATTCACACCCATTGCATAAATTCCCAGAGGTGTTAGACTCTTTACAGGAGCCTTGGCCAGACGTCACTGATATGCCTGAAAACCCCTGAAGCCACACTGTACACGGACAGGAGCAGTTTTGTCGTAGATGGTACCAGGTATGTGGGGGCAGCCGTGGTAGACTCTTATGACCATGCCATTTGGTCTCAGGCCCTGAGAAATGGGTCTTCTGCTCAGAGAGCAGAATTGGTGGTTCTTACCCAAGCCTTATGGTGGAGCTGAAATAAAGCAGTCAGCATCCACACAGCAGGTCTGGTACGCCTTTGTGACCATCTACATGACAGATTTACCAAGAAAGGGGGCTTTTAACCTCTGGGGGAAAGCAAAAACTGAAACAAACATGAAATGAAAACAAAAAAATGAAATATTAGTCCTGCTGCAGGTCATATACCTCCCCAAAAGACTGGCTATTATGCATTGCAAGGCTCATCA